GCTGGGGCTGGGGCTGGGGCTGAGGCTGAGGCTGGAGCTTGGGCTGAAGCTGGGGCTGGGGCTAGGGTAGAGTCTGCAGTAGGGGCTGAGGCCAATATGGGTACTTGGTCTTGGGATGGAGATGCAACCATTATAGGGTTTAGGCTTGCAGCTGAGGAAGAGGCTGGAGCAGCGTTCTGGACTTTAACTGAAGATGTAGATGAGGATGAGCTAAGTAGAGAGTCCAGCCCCGATATTGAGGAGATCAGTTTAAGGTCTTTGTTTTGGGCTGAGAGTGAGAATAGTAATGAGTCCAGATCCAAAGGTGAGAGAGATGTCAATTTTGAGTCTGGGCCTGGGGATAAGGCCAACATCAAGGATAAGTTTGAAGCTGCTGGTGGAGTTGATATAGAGTCTTGGTTCTGTACTGATAATGAAAATAGAAGTGATGACAATTCTGCACCTACGGCTGATGCCAAAAAGTCAACTGAGTCAAGAGGTATATATCCATCCATGGTCCCTGGGGCAGGAATGGGATCGTGGGGTGGAGCCATGATCTGGTCGGAAACGAGGTTTCCACACCACATTGTGGCCCAGTTCTCAGCTGAGCAAGGTTTCTCCCAAGCTGAGGAGAAATTTCGAGCCTGGTCCTGCAACTGTAAAAAAGAAGGTGATATGGATCCACAAGATCTTGAAAAACTGATTTGCATGATTGAGATGACCGAAGATCCTTCTGTTCATGAAATAGCCACTAACGCTCTGTATAACAGTGCTGACTATCCTTTTTCCCGTGAAGTTGTTCGTAATGTAGGTGGAATCTCAGTTATTGAAAGCTTGCTCAATAATCCCTACCCCAGTGTTAGGCAGAAGGCCTTAAATGCACTGAATAACATCTCAGTGGCTGCTGAAAACCATAGGAAGGTTAAAACATACTTAAACCAAGTATGTGAAGACACTGTCACCTATCCCTTAAATTCAAATGTGCAGCTGGCTGGACTAAGACTGATAAGGCACCTGACTATTACCAGTGAATATCAGCATATGGTCACAAATTATATTTCAGAATTTCTTCGTTTGTTAACTGTGGGAAGTGGAGAGACTAAAGACCATGTTTTGGGAATGCTTTTGAATTTCTCTAAGAATCCATCTATGACAAAAGACTTGCTCATTGCCAATGCACCAACATCGCTGATTAACATTTTTAGCAAGAAAGAGACAAAAGAGAATATTCTTAATGCTCTTTCACTATTTGAAAATATAAATTACCATTTTAAAAGAAGAGCAAGAGCATTTACGCAAGATAAGTTCAGTAAAAATTCCCTTTATTTCCTATTCCAACGACCTAAAGCATGTGCCAAGAAACTTCGAGCCTTAGCAGCGGACTGCAATGACCCTGAGGTGAAGGAGAAAGTTGAGCTATTAATAAGTAAACTCTGATTGGCTGTATGTTACCAAACAAATTTGAGTAATATTTTGGTTTTGCACCCTGGAAATAATGCACACTGTAAATTGCATTATAACTTTCAAGACTGATGTTACCTATGATGGTCTATAGCTGGACCATTTTACAACACTAAATGAATTCAAACTTGTACTGAAAATACATGTGTTGATTTTTATCTTGTCTGGATTGAGATATTTTTAGTATGCTTCATGAGCAGAAACTGAACTGATTCTTCATAAGTAAGGTAATCTTTGGTCCTTTGTGTGGACTTATGTTTATACATTTAAGACTTTATTTTTATGTCATCAATAAAGTTGTGTGTTTTAAGCAGCAGAAAAAAAGTCATTGTCCTTGTCCTTGAGTTTGGTCAATTGGTGTGCAGGATGGGTCCAAGCTGGGGTGGGGACAGGAGTGGTGACTGGAGATTGGAAAACCAGTTAGAAAGTCACAATAGTCCAGGCACGAGATGACCAAGGTGACTGCAGATTGGAAAATTAGTTAGAAAGTGACAACAATAGTCCAGGCACGAGATTACAAAGGCATGAAATTTAACTGGTGGCCATGGGAATGGTAAGGAGAGAATTGAAATGAGAGACCCTTTGAACCAATAAGTGCTGGGAGTGCAGGGATCTATTCTGGGGACATACATGGAGGGCCAATTTTATTTTAGGGGCCTAGGACATTTGATAGGAAAACATCCTCTTTCTTATCCAATTATGGTGTCTATGTATGTGAATTAGATAGGTATTTGAAATAACAAGAATAAAGAATAAGTTTTAGTGCTTATATCAGATTTCTTCTCTGATGTTGGTTAAGGTGGGTCCTTTATGAGCCATGGAGAGTGCTGTTGGGATCCACATGGGAAAAGATCCCCCTGTCTTCCACCTCAGTGTTGGTGAGAGTTGTGAGGGCATGGGGGGAGGGTACTCTCAAACTGTAGGTGGAAGTGTACATTGATACAAAGGCATTTGGCATACAGGTTTCAGAAGCCTTCAAGATATGCATACCCCATTGACCTGGTAAATCCAATTGTAGAAATTTATCCATAGGAAATAATTACAGTACAACCACCATAGTTGACCTCCTCCTTGAATTGGCCTAATTTTCATAGACCAGACATGTACCACATATATGTATCAGTCAGGCAGCCTTGTTCCTTATGTTGACCACCTCTGTATGTTGACCAATTTGTTATAGTCCCTTGGGTGGTCAATGTACAGCGATTCTACTGTAGTTGGCTTGTATAAAGCTGTACATCTTCAAACTGTCTTGAAGGGTGAAAATTGTAAATAACCCAAGTGTCTCAAAATAGGCAGTTGGCTAAACAAATTAAGGTATGTCTACACATTTAAATATTCCACAGCCGTTGAAAATATTGATGGAGATCTACATTTATTTACATGGAAAATTCCATTTATAATATTCAGTGAGAAATAGATGGTAAAACTATATACCATACTTTTTGGTGGAGAACAGTATGTATCTAAATTATATATAAACTTTGGTGGACATTCTGAGAGTGTTAATAGTTTTCCCTGGGTGTTAGACTGATGGGTGCTTTTTTTTTTCTTTTCTTTTTATTTTTTCCTCAGAGGGGATAAGATTTCACAGATGGGTGGTTTTATCTGTTTTTTCACTCATTTTTACTTTTATGATATTTATATAATAAACAGGGATTTCTTGTATAATTTACCAAAAAGGAAAAGGTTGGGTTCAGCCTAGACAGGCCTGTCAATAGTAGTTGAGGGTTTGGGAGCAAAAATACAAATAGAGGCTTACACTATTTATTTCCAAATACTTGGAAAGTATAACTTCCCATTTTTAATACATACTATTTCAATAAAACTATAAGTATGAACATTTAAATATGACTATGTTAAAAATATGGCTACTCATAATTCTAGCATGTGATGGCCACCAATTTTCTGCTGAAAAAATAATGATATCATGTTTGTGGTGGATTCTGCCATCTGCTGCCCTGATCCCCTTGAGAATAAAGAGCTTATTATTTCAGTTGCTTGGAGTGCTGCCAGCAGATGGTCTTCAGCTGTCAGCCCTCTTCAGGATTTTCCTCAGATGAAGAGAGAGAGCCACCTCCCCCCAAGGTTATACCCCGTTTCTAGGGGGTATTTCACATCCAATGACTGATGGACATGGCCTTCTTGCTCCAAATTGGGACAGCTTAACTTCTCCCTCTGTCCAATCCTGCTTCCTTCTTTTCCCTTCCGCAGGTGTTGATTCCCTAATAAAAGCCCTTCACGCTGAAATCTGTCTCTGAGTCTGCTCCCTGGGAAGCCAACCTGCAACAGTCGGTACAAGAAGAGGTGCAAGAAAGCAAACACTGTGACGAAATTTTGGAGATGAATCACCTGCTGCCAAGCTGGCAATGAGGATTTCATCATTGGTGGTAGGTGGAGTAGGTAGGCCTCTGGAGCAAGGTGCAGAGCTGTCATTGGTGGTGAACTGGGGTGGCATACTGGTAGAAGGGAACACATTAATTAGTGCCATGTATCAGACCTTTGAGAAATATGTGGGAAATATTAACTATAAGGAAGGTCAGAAAATTGTGTGGCTATTGCTAAGCTTTTCTGACCTCTAGAAAAGAATAATAAAAACCTGAATTACGTTAATCTACAATTAAAAGCTACATTTGGAAGCCAGAGAGCTTCATTCATAGCATATAAAGAGACTCTTACCTTTTCCAGGCAGAGGGTAGAGAAATCTGAGGACCAGACCCAGGACTTATTGAAAGCAAGCTTCAAAGAAAGTTAAAATTCCAACCAAGGGGCTCGGCACCTGTGGCTCAAGTGGCTAAGGCACCAGCCACATACACCCAAGGTGGCGGGTTCGAATCCAGCCTGGGCCGCCAAACAACAATGACAGCTACAACCAAAAAATAGCCGGGTGTTGTGGCGGGTGCCTGTGGTCCCAGCTACTTGGGAGGCTGAGGCAGGAGACTCGCTTGAGCCCAGGAGTTGGAGGTTGC